CTAGATAAAAAAGAAGACTTTAAAGACTATAAAAACAACTCTGTACGAAAAACGCAGAATTAGAATTTTTTTAAAGGAGTTAGTTCATCGTTTTGGTCAAAAATTTGAGATTTCTTCAACTTTGATTTTTATGCAAAATAGACCAAGAAAAAGTATCTGGGAACGTTCTAGTTAGAAAAAAGTTTCTATAATCCTTTGTAACCCCCTGTAACGCCTTGTCACCTCCTGTCACCCCTTGCAACCCCTTGTAACCCCCTGTAACCCCTTGTAACCCCTTGAAACATCCTGTAACCCCCTGTAACCCCTTGTAACCCCCTCTATTCCAATGTCATAGATTGTAAAAATAAATCGTAAAAAAACGATCTCCACGGTTTATATAGCAAACAAGCCTTTCTAAACGATAAAAACATTAGTTTCAAAAACCCACAAAATTGCCATTTTTGCAAAGGGGTTAGTTCATTGTTTTTTTTTTTTAAATTTGAAATTTTGTGAACGTTTCGTTTTATGCAAAATACACCCAGAAAAAGTATCTGGTGACGTTGTCGTTAAACAACAAGCCTTGTAGACAATATAAACATGGTTTTAAAAACAAGGCAAAATTGGCATTCTTTCAAAGCGGATAGTCCATGATTTTGGTCAAAAAGTTGACGTTTTTTCATGTTTTGTGTTTATCAAAAATAGATCCAGAAAAAGTGTTTGCTGACGTTCTAGATAAAAAAGAAGCCCTTTAAGACTATAAAAACAACTGTGTACGAAAAACGCCCAATTAGAATTTTTCCAAAGGGGTTTTTCCAAGGCTTTAGTCCATTGTTTTGGTCAAAAATTCGAGATTTCTTCAACTTTGATTTTTATGCAAAATAGACCAAGAAAAAGTATCTGGGAACGTTCTAGTTAGAAAAAAGTTTCTATAATACTTTTTAACCCACTGTAACGCCTTGTCACCCCCTGTAACCCCTTGGAACCCTTTGTAACCCCCTTGTAACCCCTTGTAACCCCGTGTAACCCCTTCTACCCCCTTGTAACCCCCTGTAACCCCTTCTAACCCCTTGTAACCCCCTGTAACCCCCCCATTAACCCGTTGTAACTCCCTGTATTCCCATGTCATAGATCGTAAAAACAAATCGTGAAAAAACTATTTTCGACGTTTTAAAGAGCAAAAAAGGCTTTCTGAACTACAAAAACGTCGGTTTCAAAAACCCAGAAAATTGGCATTTTTGAAAAGGGATTAGTCCATGGTTTAGGTCAAAAATTTGAAATTTTATGAACGTTTCGTTTTATGCAAAATACTCCCAGAAAAAGTATTTGGTGACGTTCTCGTTAGAATACAAGCCTTTCTAGACAATATAAACATGGATTTAAAAAGAAGGCAAAATTGGCATTTTTGCAAAGTCCATGATTTTGGTCAAAAAGATGAAGTTTTTTCATCTTTTGTGTTTATCAAAAATACATGGAGAAAAAGTGTTTGCTGACGTTCTAGATTAAAAAGAAGCCTTCAAAGACTATAAAAAAACCTGTGTACGCAAAACGCAAAATTAGAATTTTTCCTTAGGGGTTAGTCCATCGTTTTGGTCAAAAATTTGAGATTTCTTCAACTTTGACTTTTATGCAAAATAGAGCAAGAAAAAGTATCTGCAAACGTTCTAGTTAGAATAAATTTTCTATAATCCTTTGTAACCCCCTGTAACGCCTTGTCGCCCCCTGTCACCCCTTGTAACCCCTTCTACCCGCGGTAACCCCTTGTAACCCGTTGTGACCTTCTGTAACCTCTTTTAACACCTTGTAACCCATTGTAACCCCCTGTAACCCCTTGAAACCCCCTCTATTCCCATGTCACAGATCGTGAAAATAAATCGTGAAAAAACGATTTTCGACATTTTATATAGCAAACCAGCCTTTCTGAACAACAAAAAAATCGGTTTCAAAAACCAACTTCAACTTCAACAATGATTTTTATGCAAAATAGACCAAGAAAAAGTATCTGGGAACGTTCTAGTTAGAAAAAAGTTTCTATAATCCTTTGTAGCCCCCTGTAACGCCTTGTCACCTCCTGTCACCCCTTGCAACCCCTTGTAACCCCCTGTAACGCCTTGTCACCTCTTGTCACTCCTTGCAACCCCTTGTAACCCCCTGTAACCCCTTGTAACCCCTTGAAACACCCTGTAACCCCCTGTAACCCCTTGTAACCCCCTCTATTCCAATGTCATAGATTGTGAAAATAAATCGTGAAAAAACGATCTTCACGGTTTATATAGCAAACAACCCTTTCTGAGCAACAAAAACATCGGTTTCAAAAACCCACAAAATTGGGATTTTTGCAAAGGGGTTAGTTCATTGTTTTTTTTTTTTTAATTTGAAATTTTGTGAACGTTTCGTTTTATGCAAAATACACCCAGAAAAAGTATTTGGTGACGTTGTCGTTAAACAACAAGTCTTGTAGACAATATAAACATGGTTTTAAAAAGAAGGCAAAATTGGCATTCTTTCAAAGGGGATAGTCCATGATTTTGGTCAAAAAGTTGACGTTTTTTCATGTTTTGTGTTTATCAAAAATAGATCAAGAAAAAGTGTTTCCTGACGTTCTAGATAAAAAAGAAGCCCTTAAAGAGTATAAAAACAACTGTGTACGAAAAACGCCCAATTAGAATTTTTCCAAAGGGGTTTTTCCAAGGCTTTAGTCCGTTGTTTTGGTCAAAAATTTGAGATTTCTTCAACTTTGATTTTTATGCAAAATAGACCAAGAAAAAGTATCCGCAAACGTTCTAGTTAGATTAAATTTTCTATAATCCTTTCTAACCCCTTGTAACGCCTTGTCTCCCCCTGTCACCCCTTGTAACCCCTTGTACCCCCGGTAACCCCTTGTAACCCGTTGTGACCTTTTGTAACCTCTTATAACACCTTGTAACCCATTGTAACCCCCTGTAACCCCTTATAACCCCCTGTATTCCCATGTCACAGATCGTGAAAATAAATCGTGAAAAAACGATTTTCGATGTTTTATATAGCAAACAAGCCTTTCTGAAAAAAAAAAAAAACATCGGTTTCAAAAACCAACTTCAACTTCAACAATGATTTTTATGCAAAATAGACCAAGAAAAAGTATCTAGCAACGTTCTAGTTAGAAAAAAGTTTCTATAATCCTTTGTAACCCCCTGTAACGCCTTGTCACCTCCTGTCACCCCTTGCAACCCCTTGTAACCCCCTGTAACCCCTTGTAACCCCTTAAAACACCCTGTAACCCCTTGTAACCACCACTATTCCAATGTCATAGATTGTGAAAATAAATCGTGAAAAAAGGATTTTCGACGTTTTATATAGCAAACAAGTCTTTCTGAAAAACAAAAACATCGGTTTCAAAAACCAACTTCAACTTCAACAATGATTTTTATGCAAAATAGACCAAGAAAAAGTATCTGGGAACGTTCTAGTTAGAAAAAAGTTTCTATAATCCTTTGTAACCCACTGTAACGCCTTGTCACCTCCTGTCACCCCTTGCAACCCCTTGTAACCCCCTGTAACTCCTTGTAACCCCTTGAAACACCCTGTAACCCCCTGTAACCCCTTGTAACCCCCTCTATTCCAACGTCATAGATTGTAAAAATAAATCGTAAAAAAACGATCTCCACGGTTTATATAGCAAACAAGCCTTTCTGAACAACAAAAACATCGGTTTCAAAAACCCACAAAATTGGCAGGTTTGCAAAGGGGTTAGTTCATGGTTTTGGTCTAAAATTTGAAATTTTGTGAACGTTTCGTTTTAAGCAAAATACACCCAGAAAAAGTTTTGGTGACGTTGTCGTTAAACAACAAATCTTGTAGACAATATAAACATGGTTTTAAAAAGAAGGCAAAATTGGTATTCTTTCAAAGCGGATAGTCCATGATTTTGGTCAAAAAATTGAAGTTTTTACATGTTTTGTGTTTATCAAATATAGATCCAGAAAAAGTGTTTGCTGACGTTCTTGATAAAAAAGAAGCCCTTAAAGAGTATAAAAACAACTGTGTACGAAAAACGCCCAATTAGAATTTTTCCAAAGGGGTTTTTCCAAGGCTTTAGTCCATTGTTTTGGTCAAAAATTCGAGATTTCTTCAACTTTGATTTTTATGCAAAATACACCAAGAAAAAGTATCTGGGAACGTTCTAGTTACAAAAAAGTTTCTATAATACTTTTTAACCCACTGTAACGCCTTGTCACCCCCTGTAACCCGTTGGAACCCTTTGTAACCCCCTTGTAACCCCTTGTAACCCCCTGTAACCCCTTTTACCCCCTTGTAACCCCCTGTAACCCCTTCTAACCCCTTGTAACCCCCTGTAAACCCCACCTTATTTCGTTGTAACTCCCTGTATTCCCATGTCATAGATCGTAAAAATAAATCGTGAAAAAACTATTTTCGACGTTTTAAAGAGCAAAAAACTCTTCCTAAACTACAAAAACGTCGGTTTCAAAAACCCAGAAAATTGGCATTTTTGAAAAGGGATTAGTCCATGGTTTAGGTCAAAAATTTGAAATTTTATGAACGTTTCGTTTTATGCAAAATACACCCAGAAAACGTATTTGGTGACGTTCTCGTTAGAATACAAGCCTTTCTAGACAATATAAACATGGATTTAAAAAGAAGGCAAAATTGGCATTTTTGCAAAGTCCATGATTTTGGTCAAAAAGATGAAGTTTTTTCATCTTTTGTGTTTATCAAAAATAGATGGAGAAAAAGTGTTTGCTGACGTTCTAGATTAAAAAGAAGCCTTCAAAGACTATAAAAACAACTGTGTACGCAAAACGCAAAATTAGAATTTTTCCTTACGGGTTAGTCCATCGTTTTGGTCAAAAATTTGAGATTTCTTCAACTTTGACTTTTATGCAAAATAGAGCAAGAAAAAGTATCTGCAAACGTTCTAGTTAGAATAAATTTTCTATAATCCTTTGTAAGCCCCTGTAACGCCTTCTCACCCCATGTCACCCCTTGTAACCCCTTGTACCCCTGGTAACCCCTTGTAACTCGTTGTGACCTTCTGTAACCTCTTTTAACACCTTGTAACCCATTGTAACCCCCTGTAACCCCTTGTAACCCCTTGAAACACCCTGTAACGCCCTGTAACCCCTTCTGTCACCCTATCTATTCCAATGTCATAGATTTTGAAATAAATCGTGAAAAAACGATTTTCGACGTTTTATATAGCAAACAAGTCTTTCTGAAAAACAAAAACATCGGTTTCAAAAACCAACTTCAACTTGAACAATTATTTTTATGCAAAATAGACCAAGAAAAAGTATCTGGGAACGTTCTAGATAGAAAAAAGTTTCTATAATACTTTTTAACCCACTGTAACGCCTTGTCACCCTCTGTAACCCCTTGGAACCCTTTGTAACCCCCTTGTAACCCCTTGTAACCCCGTGTAACCCCTTCTACCCCCTTGTAACCCCCTGTAACCCCTTCTAACCCCTTGTAACCCCCTGTAACCCCCCCATTAACCCGTTGTAACTCCCTGTATTCCCATGTCATAGATCGTAAAAATAAATCGTGAAAAAACTATTTTCGACGTTTTAAAGAGCAAAAAACTCTTTCTCAACTACAAAAACGTCGGTTTCAAAAACCCAGAAAATTGACATTTTTGAAAAGGGATTAGTCCATGGTTTAGGTCAAAAATTTGAAATTTTATGAACGTTTCGTTTTATGCAAAATACACCCAGAAAAAGTATTTGGTGACGTTGTCGTTAAACAACAAGTCTTGTAGACAATATAAACATGGTTTTAAAAAGAAGGCAAAATTGGCATTCTTTCAAAGGGGATAGTCCATGATTTTGGTCAAAAAGTTGACGTTTTTTCATGTTTTGTGTTTATCAAAAATAGATCCAGAAAAAGTGTTTGCTGACGTTCTAGATAAAAAAGAAGCCCTTAAAGAGTATAAAAACAACTGTGTACGAAACACGCCCAATTAGAATTTTTCCAAAGGGGTTTTTCCAAGGCTTTAGTCCATTGTTTTGGTCAAAAATTTGAGATTTCTTCAACTTTGATTTTTATGCAAAATAGACCAAGAAAAAGTATCTGCAAACGTTCTAGTTAGAATAAATTTTCTATAATCCTTTGTAACCCCCTGTAACGCCTTGTCACCCCCTCTCACCCCTTGTAACCCCTTGTACCCCCGGTAACCCCTTGTAACCCGTTGTGACCTTTTGTAACCTCTTATAACACCTTGTAACCCATTGTAACCCCCTGTAACCCCTTATAACCCCCTGTATTCCCATGTCACAGATCGTGAAAATAAATCGTGAAAAAACGATTTTCGATGTTTTATATAGCAAACAAGCCTTTCTGAAAAAAAAAAAAAACATCGGTTTCAAAAACCAACTTCAACTTCAACAATGATTTTTATGCAAAATAGACCAAGAAAAAGTATCTAGCAACGTTCTAGTTAGAAAAAAGTTTCTATAATCCTTTGTAACCCCCTGTAACGCCTTGTCACCTCCTGTCACCCCTTGCAACCCCTTGTAACCCCCTGTAACCCCTTGTAACCCCTTGAAACACCCTGTAACCCCCTGTAACTCCTTGTAACCACCACTATTCCAATGTCATAGATTGTGAAAATAAATCGTGAAAAAAGGATTTTCGACGTTTTATATAGCAAACAAGTCTTTCTGAAAAACAAAAACATCGGTTTCAAAAACCAACTTCAACCTCAACGATGATTTTTATGCAAAATAGACCAAGAAAAAGTATCTGGGAACGTTCTAGTTAGAAAAAGTTTCTATAATCCTTTGTAACCCCCTGTAACGCCTTGTCACCTCCTGTCACCCCTTGCAACCCCTTGTAACCCCCTGTAACCCCTTGTAACCCCTTGAAACAACCTGTAACCCCCTGTAACCCCTTGTAACCCCCTCTATTCCAATGTCATAGATTGTAAAAATAAATCGTAAAAAAACGATCTCCACGGTTTATATAGCAAACAAGCCTTTCTGAACAACAAAAACATCGATTTCAAAAACCCACAAAATTGGCAGTTTTGCAAAGGGGTTAGTTCATTGTTTTTTTTTGTAAATTTGAAATTTTTTTGAACGTTTCGTTTTATGCAAAATACACCCAGAAAAAGTATTTGGTGACGTTGTCGTTAAACAACAAATCTTGTAGACAATATAAACATGGTTTTAAAAAGAAGGCAAAATTGGTATTCTTTCAAAGCGGATAGTCCATGATTTTGGTCAAAAAATTGAAGTTTTTACATGTTTTGTGTTTATCAAATATAGATCCAGAAAAAGTGTTTGCTGACGTTCTAGATAAAAGAGAAGCCCTTAAAGAGTATAAAAACAACTGTGTACGAAAAACGCCCAATTAGAATTTTTCCAAAGGGGTTTTTCCAAGGCTTTAGTCCATTGTTTTGGTCAAAAATTTGAGATTTCTTCAACTTTGATTTTTATGCAAAATACACCAAGAAAAAGTATCTGGGAACGTTCTAGTTAGAAAAAAGTTTCTATAATACTTTTTAACCCACTGTAACGTCTTGTCACCCCCTGTAACCCCTTGGAACCCTTTGTAACCCCCTTGTAACCTCTTGTAACACCCTGTAACCCCTTCTACCCAATTTTAACCCCCTGTAACCCCCCCCCCCCCCCCATTAACCTGTTGTAAGTCCCTGTATTCCCATGTCATAGATCGTAAAAATAAATCGTGAAAAAACTATTTTCGACGTTTTAAAGAGCAAAAAACTCTTTCTCAACTACAAAAACGTCGGTTTCAAAAACCCAGAAAATTGGCATTTTTGAAAAGGGATTAGTCCATCGTTTAGGTCAAAAATTTGAAATTTTATGAACGTTTCGTTTTATGCAAAATACACCCAGAAAACGTATTTGGTGACGTTCTCGTTAGAATACAAGCCTTTCTACACAATATAAACATGGATTTAAAAAGAAGGCAAAATTGGCATTTTTGCAAAGTCCATGATTTTGGTCAAAAAGATGAAGTTTTTTCATCTTTTGTGTTTATCAAAAATAGATGGAGAAAAAGTGTTTGCTGACGTGCTAGATTAAAAAGAAGCCTTCAAAGACTATAAAAACAACTGTGTACGCAAAACGCAAAATTAGAATTTTTCCTTAGGGGTTAGTCCATCGTTTTGGTCAAAAATTAGAGATTTCTTCAACTTTGACTTTTATGCAAAATAGAGCAAGAAAAAGTATCTGCAAACGTTCTAGTTAGAATAAATTTTCTATAATCCTTTGTAACCCCCTGTAACGCCTTGTCGCCCCCTGTCACCCCTTGTAATCCCTTCTACCCGCGGTAACCCCTTGTAACCCGTTGTGACCTTCTGTAACCTCTTTTAACACCTTGTAACCCATTGTAACCCCCTGTAACCCCTTGAAACCCCCTCTATTCCCATGTCACAGATCGTGAAAATAAATCGTGAAAAAACGATTTTCGACGTTTTATATAGCAAACCAGCCTTTCTGAACAACAAAAAAATCGGTTTCAAAAACCAACTTCAACTTCAACAATGATTTTTATGCAAAATAGACCAAGAAAAAGTATCTGGGAACGTTCTAGTTAGAAAAAAGTTTCTATAATCCTTTGTAACCCCCTGTAACGCCTTGTCACCTCCTGTCACCCCTTGCAACCCCTTGTAACCCCCTGTAACGCGTTGTCCCCTCCAGTCAATCCTTGCAACCCCTTGTAGCCCCCTGTAACCCCCTGTAACCCCTTGAAACACCCTGTAACCCCCTGTAACCCCTTGTAACCACCACTATTCCAATGTCATAGATTGTAAAAATAAATCGTGAAAAAAGGATTTTCGACGTTTTATAAAGCAAACAAGTCTTTCTGAAAAACAAAAACATCGGTTTCAAAAACCAACTTACACATCAACGATGATTTTTATGCAAAATAGGCCAAGAAAAAGTATCTGGGAACGTTCTAGTTAGAAAAAAGTTTCTATAATCCTTTGTAACCCCCTGTAACGCCTTGTCACCTCCTGTCACCCCTTGCAACCCCTTGTAACCCCCTGTAACCCCTTGTAACCCCTTGAAACACCCTGTAACCCCATGTAACCCCTTGTAACCCCCTCTATTCCAATGTCATAGATTATGAAAATAAATCGTGAAAAAACGATCTTCACGGTTTATATAGCAAACAAGTCTTTCTGAACAACAAAAACATCGGTTTCAAAAACCCACAAAATTGGCAGTTTTGCAAAGGGGTTGGTTCATTGTTTTTTTTTTAAATTTGAAATTTTGTGAACGTTTCGTTTTATGCAAAATACACCCAGAAAAAGTATTTGGTGACGTTGTCGTTAAAGAACAAGTCTTGTACACAATATAAACATGGTTTTAAAAAGAAGGCAAAATTGGCATTCTTTCAAAGCGGATAGTCCATGATTTTGGTCAAAAATTTGAAGTTTTTTCATGTTTTGTGTTTATCAAAAATAGATCCAGAAAAAGTGTTTGCTGACGTTCTAGATAAAAAAGAAGCCCTTAAAGAGTATAAAAACAACTGAGTACGAAAAACGCCCAATTAGAATTTTTCCAAAGGGGTTTTTCCAAGGCTTTAGTCGGTTGTTTTGGTCAAAAATTTGAGATTTCTTCAACTTTGATTTTTATGCAAAATAGAGCAAGAAAACGTATCTGCAAACGTTCTAGTTAGAATAAATTTTCTATAATCCTTTGTAACCCCCTGTAACGCCTTGTCACCCCCTGTCACCCTTTGTAACCCCTTGTACCCCCGGTAACCCCTTGTAACCCGTTGTGACCTTCTGTAACCTCTTTTAACACCTTGTAACCCATTGTAACCCCTGTAACCCCTTGTAACCCCTTGAAACACCCTGTAACCCCTGTAACCCCTTTTAACCCCATCTATTCTAATGTCATAGATTTTGAAAATAAATCGTGAAAAAACGATTTTCGACGTTTTATATAGCAAACAAGTCTTTCTGAAAGACAAAAACATCGGTTTCAAAAACCAACTTCAACTTCAACAATGATTTTTATGCAAAATAGACCAAGAAAAAGTATCTAGGAACGTTCTAGATAGAAAAAAGTTTCTATAATCCTTTGTAACCCCCTGTAACGCCTTGTCACCTCCTGTCACCCCTTGCAACCCCTTGTAACCCCCTCTATTCCAATGTCACAGATCGTGAAAATAAATCGTAAAAAAACGATCTCCACGGTTGATATAGCAAACAAGCCTTTCTGAACAACAAAAACATCGGTTTCAAAAACCCACAAAATTGGCATTTTTGCAAAGGGGTTAGTTCGTTGTTTTTTTTTTTTTTAATTTGAAATTTTGTGAACGTTTCTTTTTATGCAAAATACACCCAGAAAAAGTATTTGGTGACGTTGTCGTTAAACAACGAGCCTTGTAGACAATATGAACATGGTTTTAAAAAGAAGGCAAAATTGGCATTCTTTCAAAGCGGATAGTCCATGATTTTGGTCAAAAAGTTGAAGTTTTTTCATGTTTTGTGTTTATCAAAAATAGATCCAGAAAAAGTGTTTGCTGACGTTCTAGATAAAAAAGAAGCCCTTAAAGAGTATAAAAACAACTGTGTACGAAAAACGCCCAATTAGAATTTTTCCAAAGGGGTTTTTCCAAGGCTATAGTCCATTGTTTTAGTCAAAAATTCGAGATTTCTTCAACTTTGATTTTTATGCAAAATAGACCAAGAAAAAGTATCTGGGAACGTTCTAGTTAGAAAAAAGTTTCTATAATACTTTGTAACCCACCGTAACGCCTTGTCACACCCTGTAACCCCTTGGAACCCTTTCTAACCCCCTTGTAACCCCCTGTAACCCCCTGTAACCCCTTCTAACCCCTTGTCACCCCCTGTAACCCCTTCTAACCCCTTGTAACCCTCTGTAACCCCCCCCCCACATTAACCCGTTTTAACTCCCTGTATTCCCATGTCATAGATCGTGACAATAAATCGTGAAAAAACTATTTTCGACGTTTTAAAGAGCAAAAATGTCTTTCTGAACTACAAAAACGTCGGTTTCAAAAACCCAGAAAATTGGCATTTTTGCAAAGGGATTAGTCCATGGTTTTGGTCAAAAATTTGAAATTTTGTGAACGTTTTCTTTTATGCAAAATACACCAAGAGAAAATATTTGGCGATGTTCTCGTTGGAAAACATGCCTTTCTAGACAATATAAACATGGATTTAAAAACAAGGAAAAACTGGCATTTTTGCAACGTCCATGTTTTTGGTCAAAAAGTTGAAGTTTTTTCATCTTTTGTGTTTATAAAAAATAGATCGAGAAAAAGTGTTTCCTCGTGTTCTAGATAAAAAAGAAGGCTTTAAAGACTATAAAAACAACTGTGTACGAAAAACGCAAAATTAGAATTTTTCCTTAGGGGTTAGTCCATCGTTTTGGTCAAAAATTTGAGATTTCTTCAACTTTGATTTTTATGCAAAATAGACCAAGAAAAAGTATCTGGGAACGTTCTAGTTAGCAAAAAGTTTCTGTAATCCTTTGCAACACGCTGTAACGACTTGTCACCCCGTGTCACCCCTTTTAACCCCTTGTAACCCCCTGTAAGCTCTTGTAACCCCCTGTAACCTCTTGTAACCCCTTGTAACCCATTGTAACCCCTTGTAACCCCCTGTATTCGTATGTCATAGAAGTTTTCGACGTTTTATATAGCAAACAAGCCTTTCTGAACAACAGAAACGTCGGTTTCAAAAAGCAACTTCAACTTCAACTTTGATTTTTATGCAAAATAGACCAAGAAAGAGTATCTGGGAACGTTCTAGTTAGAAAAAAGTTTCTATAATACTTTTTAACCCACTGTAACGCCTTGTCACCCCCTGTAACCCGTTGGAGCCCTTTGCAACCCCCTTGTAACCCCTTGTAACCCCCTGTAACCCCTTCTACCCCCTTGTAACCCCCTGTAACCCCCTGTAACCCCTTCTAACCCCTTGTAACCCCCTGTAAACCCCCCCTTATTTCGTTGTAACTTCCTGTATTCCCATGTCATAGATCGTAAAAATAAATTGTGAAAAAACTATTTTCGACGTTTTAAAGAGCAAAAAACTCTTTCTCAACTACAAAAACGTCGGTTTCAAAAACCCAGAAAATTGGCATTTTTGAAAAGGGATTAGTCCATGGTTTAGGTCAAAAATTTGAAATTTTATGAACGTTTCGTTTTATGCAAAATGCACCCAGAAAACGTATTTGGTGACGTTCTCGTTAAACAACAAGCCTTTCTCGACAATATAAACATGGATTTAAAAAGAAGGCAAAATTGGCATTTTTGCAAAGTCCATGATTTTGGTCAAAAAGATGAAGTTTTTTCATCTTTTGTGTTTATCAAAAATAGATGGAGAAAAAGTGTTTGCTGACGTTCTAGATTAAAAAGAAGCCTTCAAAGACTATAAAAACAACTGTGTACGCAAAACGCAAAATTAGAATTTTTCCTTACGGGTTAGTCCATCGTTTTGGTCAAAAATTTGAGATTTCTTCAACTTTGATTTTTATGCAAAATAGAGCAAGAAAACGTATCTGCAAACGTTCTAGTTAGAATAAATTTTCTATAATCCTTTGTAACCCCCTGTAACGCCTTGTCACCCCCTGTCACCCTTTGTAACCCCTTGTACCCCCGGTAACCCCTTGTAACCCGTTGTGACCTTCTGTAACCTCTTTTAACACCTTGTAACCCATTGTAACCCCCTGTAACCCCTTGTAACCCCTTGAAACACCCTGTAACCCCCTGTAACCCCTTGTAACCCCATCTATTCTAATGTCATAGATTTTGAAAATAAATCGTGAAAAAACGATTTTCGACGTTTTATATGGCAAACAAGTCTTTCTGAAAGACAAAAACATCGGTTTCAAAAACCAACTTCAACTTCAACAATGATTTTTATGCAAAATAGACCAAGAAAAAGTATCTAGGAACGTTCTAGATAGAAAAAAGTTTCTATAATCCTTTGTAACCCCCTGTAACGCCTTGTCACCTCCTGTCACCCCTTGCAACCCCTTGTAAATCGTAAAAAAACGGTCTCCACGGTTGATATAGCAAACAAGCCTTTCTGAACAACAAAAACATCGGTTTCAAAAACCCACAAAATTGGCATTTTTGCAAAGGGGTTAGTTCGTTGTCTTTTTTTTTTTAATTTGAAATTTTGTGAACGTTTCTTTTTATGCAAAATACACCCAGAAAAAGTATTTGGTGACGTTGTCGTTAAACAACAAGCCTTGTAGACAATATGAACATGGTTTTAAAAAGAAGGCAAAATTGGCATTCTTTCAAAGCGGATAGTCCATGATTTTGGTCAAAAGCAATTGTAATCCCTTGTAACCCCATGTAACCACTAATACCCCCTGTGAGCCCTGTAACCCTTCTTAGCCCCCTGTATTCCCATGTCATAGATCGTGAAAATAAATCGTGAAACACGATTTTCGGCGATTTATATAGCAAAAAAGCCTTTCTGAAAAACAAAAACATCGGTTTCAAAAATTTTCAAAATTTCTTCAACTTTGATTTTTATGCAAAATTGACCAAGAAAAGTATCTGGGAAAGTTCTAGTTAAAAATAAAGATTTTATAATCCTTTGTAACCCCCTGTAACGACTTGTCACCCCATGTCACCCCTTGTAACCCCTTGTAACCCCCTGTAACCCCCTGTAACCCCTTGTAACCCCCTTAACCCCTTGTAACCCCCTGTAACCGCCTGTAACCACCTGTAACCTCTTTTAACCCCCTGTATTCCCATGTCATAGATCGTAAAAATAAATCGTGAAAAAACGATTTTCGACGCTTTTTATAGCAAACAAGCCTGTCTGAACAACAAAAACATCCGTTTTAAAAACCCACATAATTGGCATTTTTGCAAAGGGGTTAGTTCATGGTTTTGGTCTAAAATTTGAAATTTTGCGAACGTTTCGTTTTAAGCAAAATACACCCAGAGAAAGTATTTGGTGACGTTCTTGTTATTAAACAAGCCTTTCTAGACAATATGAACATGGATTTAAAAAGAAGGAAAAATTGGCATTTTTGCAATGTCCATGATTTTCGTCAAAGAGTTTTGAGTTTTTTTTATGTTTTGTGTTTATCAAAAATAGATTGAGAAAAAGTGTTTGCTGACGTTCTAGATAAAAAAAAAGCTTTTAAAGACTATAAAAATAACTGTGTATAAAAGACGCAAAATTAAAATTCTTCCAAAGGGGTAAGTCCATCGTTTGGTCAAAAATTTGACATCTCCAAGTTTGAATTTTATGCAAAATAGACCAAGAGAAAGTATCTGGGAACGTTCTAGTTAGAAAAAAGTTTCTATAATCCTTTGTAACCCCCTGTAACGCCTTGTCACCCCATGTCACCCCTTGTAACCCCTTGTAAGCCCCTGTAACCTCTTTTAACACCTTATCACCCCTTGCAAACCACTGTAACCGCCTGTAAACCCTTCTAACCCCCTGTAGCCCGCTGTAACCCTTGTAACCGACTGTATTCCCATGTCATAGATCGTGAAAATAAGTCGCAAAAAAACGATTTTCGACGTTTTATATTGCAAACAAGCCTTTCTGAACAACAAAAACATCGGTTTCAAAAACCTACAAAATTGGCATTTTTCAAAGTGGTTAGTACATGGTTTTCGTCAAAAATTTGAAATTTTGTGAACGTTTCGTTTTATGCAAAATACACCCAGAAAACGTATTTGGTGACGTTGTCGTTAGAAAACAAGCCTTTCTAGACAATATAAACATGGATTTACAAAGAAGGCAAAATTGGCCTTTTTGCAAAGGGGATAGTCCATGATTTTGGTCAAAAAGTTGAAGGTTTTCCTCTTTTGTGTTTCTCAAAAATAGATTGAGAAAAAGTCTTTGCTGACGTTCTAGATAAAAAAGAAGCCTTTAAAGACTATAAAAACAACTGTGTAGGAAAAACGCAAAATTAGAATTTTTCCAAAGGGGTTAGTCCATTGTTTGGTCAAAAATTTGAGATTTCTTCAACTTTGATTTTTATGCAAAATTGACCAAGAAAAAGGATCTGGGAACGTTCTGCTTAGAAAAAAGTTTCTATAATCCTTTGTAAACCCCTGTAACGCCTTGTCACCCTTTGTCACCCCTTGTAACCCCTTGTAACCCTTTGTAACGGCTCTCAACCCCTGGTAACCCCCTGTAACCCCTTTTAACCCTTTATAACCCCCTTAACCCCTTGTAACCCCTTGTAACCCCCTGTAACCCCCTGTAACCCTTTGTAACCCCCTTTAATCCCATGTCATAGATCGTGAAAATAAATCGTGAAAAAACGATTTTCTACGTTTTATTTAGCAAACAAGCCTTTCTGAAAAACAAAAACATCGGTTTCAAAAATTTTCAAAATTTCTTCAACTTTGATTTTTATGCAAAATTGACCAAGAAAAAGTATGTTGGAACGTTCTAGTTAAAATAAAGATTTTATAATCCTTTGTAACCCCCTGTAACGCCTTCTCACCCCATGTCACCTCTTGTAACCCCCTGTAACTCCCCGTAACCCCTTGTAATCTCCTTAACCTCTTGCAACCTTCTTGTAACCCCCTGTAACCCCCTGTAACCCCTTTTAACTTTCTGTATTCCCATGTCATGGATCGTAAAAAGAAATCGTAAAAAAACGATTTTCGACGATTTTTATAGCACACAAGCCTGTCTGAACAACAAAAACATCCGTTTTAAATACCCACAAAATTGGCATTTTTCCAAAGGGGTTAGTCCATGGTTTTCGTCAAAAATTTGAAATTTTGTGAACGTTTCGTTTTACGCAAAATACACCCAGAAGAAGTTTTTCGTGACGTTATGGTTAGAAAACAAGCCTTTCTAGACAATATAAACATGGATTAAAAAAGAAGGCAAAATTGGCATTTTTGCAAAAGGGATAGTCCATGATTTTGGTCAAAAAGTTGAAGTTTTTTTAATCTTTTGTGTTTATAAAAAATAGATCGAGAAAAAGTGTTTGCTGACGTTCTAGATAAAAAAGAAGCCTTCAAAAACTATAAAAACAAGTGCGTACGAAAAACGAAAAATTAGAATATTTCCAAAGGGGTTAGTCCATCGTCTTGGTCAAAAATTTGAGATTTCTTCAACTTTGATTTTTATGGAAAATAGACCAAGAAAAAGTATCTGGTAAAGTTCTAGTTAGAAAAAAGTTTCTATAATCCTTCGTAAACTTCTGTAACGTCTCGTCACCCCCTGTCACCCCTTGTAACACCTTGAAACCCCCTGTAACCCCTTGCGACCCCTTTTAACACCTTGTTAACCCTTGTAACCCCTTGTAACCCCCTGTAACACCCTGTAACCCCTTGTATTCCCCTGTATTCCCATGTCATAGATGGTAAAAATAAATCGTGAGAAAACGATTTTCCACGTTTTATATAGCAAAAAAGCCTTTCTGAACAACAAAAACATCGGTTTCAAAAACCCACAAAATTGGCATTTTTGCAAAGGGGTTAGTCCATGGTTTTGGTCAAAAATTTGAAATTTTATGACTGTTTCGTTTTATGCAAAATACACCCAGAAAAAGTATTTAGTGACGTTCTCGTTAGATAACAAGCCTTTCTAGACAATATAAACATGGATTTAAAAAAAAGGCAAAATTGGCATTTTTGCAAAGTCCATGATTTTGGTAAAAAAGTTGAAGTTTTTTAATCTTTTGTGTTTATCAAAAATAGATCGAGAAAAAGTGTTTGCTAAAGTTCTAGATAAAAAAGAAGCCTTTAAAGACTATAAAAACAAGTGTGTACGAGAAACGCAAGATTAGAATATTTCCAAAGGGATTAGTCCATCGTTTTGGTCAAAAATTTGAGATTTCTTTAACTTTGATTTTTATCCAAAATAGAGCAAGAAAAAGTGTCTGGGAACGTTCTAGTTAGAAAAAAGTTTCTATAATCCTTTGTAACCCCACGTAAGGCCTTCTCACCCTGTGTCACCCCTTGTAACCCCTTGTAACCCCGTGTAACTCCTTGTAACCCCTTGCAACCCCCTGTAACCCCTTGTAAACTGTTGTAACCTCCTGTAACCCCCGGTAACCCTTGTAACCGTCTGTATTCCCATGTCATAGATCGTGAAAATAAATCGTGAAAAAACGATTTTCTACGATTTTTATAGCAAACAAGCCTTTCTAAACAACAAAAACATCGTTTTCAAAACCCACAAAATTGGCATTTTTGCAAAGGGGTTAGTCCATGGTTTTGGTCAAAAATTTGAAATTTTGTGAATGTTTCGTTTTATGCAAAATACACCCAGAGAAAGTATTTGGTGACGTTCTCGTTAACAAACAAGCCTTTCTAGACAATATAAACATGGATTTACAAAGAAGGCAAAATTGGCATTTTTGAAAAGTCCATGATTTTGGTCAAAAAGTTGAAGGTTTTTCATGTTTTGTGTTTATCAAAAATAGATCGAGAAAAAGTGTTTGCTGAAGTTCTAGATAAAAAAAAAGCTTTTAAAGACTATAAAAACAACTGTGTACGAAAAACGCAAAATTAGAATATTTTCAAAGGAGTAAGTCCATCGTTTTGGTCAAAAATTTGAGATTTCTTCAACTTTGATTTTTATGCAAAAAAGACCAAGAAAAAGTATCTGGGAAAGTTCTAGTTAGAAAGAAGTTTCTATAATCCTTTGTAACCCCCTGTAAGACCTTGTCACCACGTGTCACCCCTTGTAACCCCTTGTAACCTCTTTTAACCCCTTGCAACCCCCTGTAACCGATTGTAAACCCTTGTAACCCCCTGTAACCCGCTGTAACCCTTGTAACCGTCTGTATTCCCATGTCATAGATCGTGAAAATAAATCGTGAAAAAACGATTTTCGAAGTTTTATATAGCAAACAAGCCTTTCTGAACAACAAAAACATCGGTTTCAAAAACCCACAAAATTGGCATTTTTGCAAAGGGGTTAGTCCATGGTTTTGGTCAAAAATTTGAAATTTTGTGAACGTTTCGTTGTATGCAAAATACACCCAGAAAACGTATTTGGTGACGTTGTCGTTCGAAAGCCTTTCTAGACAATATAAACATGGATTTAAAAAGAAGGTAAAAATGGCATTGTTGCAAACTGCATGATTTTGGTGAAAAAGATGAAGTTTTTTAATGTTTTGTGTCTATCAAAAATAGAACGAGAGAAAGTGTTTGCTGACGTTCTCGATAAAAAAGAAGCCTTTAAAGACTATAAAAACAACCGTGTGCGAAACGCGCAAAATTAGAATTTTTCCAAAAGGGTTAGTCCATCGTTTTGGTCAAAAATTTGAGATTTGTTCAACTTTGATTTTTATGCAAAATAGACCAAGAAAAAGTATCTGGGAACGTTCAGGATAGAAAAAAGTTTGTATAATCCTTTGTAACCCCCTGTAACGCCTTGCCAACCCTTGTCACCCCTTGTCACCGCTTGTCACCCCTTGTCACCACTTGTAACCCCCTGTAAGCCCTCTTAACCCATTGTAACCCCCTGTAACCCCCTGTATTGCCATGTCATAGATCCTGAAAATAAATCGTGAAAAAACGATTTTCGACGTTTTACATAGCAAACAAGCCTTTCTGAAAAACAAAAACATCGGTTTCAAAATTTCTCAGCATTTCTTCAACTTTGATTTTTATGCAAAATTTGTCCAAGAAAAAGTATTTGGGAACCTTCTAGTTAAAAGAAAGATTTTACAATCCTTTGCAACCCCCTGTAACGCCTTGTCACCCCATGTCACCCCTTGTAACCCCTTGTAACCCCCTGTAACTCCCTGTAACCCTTTGTAACCCCCTTAACCCCTTGTAACCCCCTGTAACCCCCTGTAACCCTTTTAAACCCCCTGTATTCCCATGTCATGGATCGTAAAAAGAAATCGTAAAAAAACGATTTTCGACGATTTTTATAGCACACAAGCCTGTCTGAACAACAAAAACATCCGTTTTAAATACCCACAAAATTGGCATTTTTCCAAAGGGGTTAGTCCATGGTTTTCGTCAAAAATTTGAAATTTTGTGAACGTTTCGTTTTACGCAAAATACACCCAGAAGAAGTTTTTCGTGACGTTATGGTTAGAAAACAAGCCTTTCTAGACAATATAAACATGGATTAAAAAAAAGAAGGCAAAATTGGCATTTTTGCAAAAGGGATAGTCCATGATTTTGGTCAAAAAGTTGAAGATTTTTTAATCTTTTGTGTTTATAAAAATAGATCGAGAAAAAGTGTTTGCTGACGTTCTAGAAAAAAAAAGAAGCCTTCAAACACTATAAAAACAAGTGCGTACGAAAAACGAAAAATTAGAATATTTCCAAAGGGGTTAGTCCATCGTCTTGGTCAAAAATTTGAGATTTCTTCAACTTCGATTTTTATTGAAAATAGACCAAGAAAAAGTATCTGGTGAAGTTCTAGTTAGAAAAAGTTTCTATAATCCTTCGTAAACTTCTGTAACGTCTCGTCACCCCTGTCACCCCTTGTAACTCCTTGAAACCCCTGTAACCCCTTTTGCGACCCCTTTTAACACCTTGTAAACCCTTGTAACCCCTTGTAACCCCCTGTAACACCCTGTAACCCCTTGTAATCCCCTGTATTCCCATGTCATAGATGGTAAAAATAAATCGTGAGAAAACGATTTTCCACGTTTTATATAGCAAAAAAGCCTTTCTGAACAACAAAAACATCGGTTTCAAAAACCCACAAAATTGGCATTTTTGCAAAGGGGTTAGTCCATGGTTTTGGTCAAAAATTTGAAATTTTGTGAACGTTTCGTTTTATGCAAAATACACCCAGAAAACGTATTTGGTGACGTTGTCGTTCGAAAGCCTTTCTAGACAATATAAACATGGATTTAAAAAGAAGGTAAAAATGGCATTGTTGCAAACTGCATGATTTTGGTGAAAAAGATGAAGTTTTTTTATGTTTTGTGTCTATCAAAAATAGAACGAGAGAAAGTGTTTGTAACCTCCTTAACCCCTTGCAACCACCTGGTAACCCCCTCTAACCCCCTGTAACCCCTTTTAACTTCCTGTATTCCCATGTCATAGATCGTAAAAATAAATCGTGAAAAAACGATTTTCGAAGTTTTTTATAGCAAACAAGCCTTTCTGAACAACAAAATCATCGGTTTTAAAAACCCACAAAATTGGCATTTTTGCAAAGGGGTTAGTTCATGGTTTTGGTCAAAAAGTTGAAGTTTTTTTCATCTATTGTGTTTATCAAAAATAGATCGAGAAAAAGTGTTTCCTGACGTTCTAGATAAAAAAGAACCCTTTAAAGACTATAAAAACAAGTGTGTACAAAAAACGCAAAATTAGAATTTTTCCAAAGGGGTTCGTCCATTGTTTGGTCAAAAATTTGAGATTTCTTCAACTTTGATTTTTATGCAAAATTGACCAAGAAAAAGTATCTTTGTCACCCCTTGTAACCCCTTGTAACCCCTTGTAAGGGCTCTCATCCCCTTGTAACCCCCAGTAACCCCTTCTAACCCTTTGTAACACCCTGTAACCCCTTGTAACCCCCTGTAACTTCTTGTAATCCCTTGTAACCGATGGTACCCCATGTAACCCCTTGTAACCACTCTTTATTCCTATGTTATATACGTTTTTGACGTTTTATATACCAAACCGGCGTTTCCGAACAACAAAACAGTCGGTTTCAAAAAGCAACTTCAACTTTAACTTTTTATCTGGGAACGTTCTGGTTAGAAAAAAGTTACTATAATCCTTTGTAAACCCCTGTAACGCCTTGTCACCCATTGTCACCCCTTGTAACCCTTTGTAACGGCTCTCAACCCCTCGTAACCCCCTGTAACCCCTTTTAACCCTTAGTAACCCCCTGTAACCCCTTGTAACCCCTTGTAACCCCCTGTAACCCCCTGTAACCCTTTGTAACCCCCTGTATTCCCATGTCATTGTGAACGTTTCGTTTTCTCCAAAATAAACCAGAATAAAGTATTTGGCGACGTTCTCGTTAACAAACAAGCCTTTCTAGACAATATAAACATGGATTTAAAAAGAAGGCAAAATTGGCCTTTTTGCAAAGGGGATAGTCCATGATTTTGGTCAAAAAGTTGAAGTTTTTTCATCTTTTGTGTTTATCAAAAATACATCAAGAAAAAGTGTTTGCTGACGTTCTAGATAAAAAAGAAGACTTTAAAGACTATAAAAACAACTGTGTACGAAAAACGCAGAATTAGAATTTTTTTAAAGGAGTTAGTTTATCGTTTTGGTCAAAAATTTGAGATTTCTTCAACTTTGATTTTTATGCAAAATAGACCAAGAAAGAGTATCTGGGAACATTCTAGTTAGAAAAAAGTTTCTATAATCCTTTGTAACCCCCTCTAACGCCTTGTCACCTCCTGTCACCACTTGCAACCCCTTGTAACCCCCTGTAACCCCTTGAAACACCCTGTAACCCCCTGTAACCCCTTGTAACCCCCTCTATTCCAATGTCATAGATTGTAAAAATAAATCGTAAAAAAACGATCTCCACGGTTTATATAGCAAACAAGCCTTTCTGAACAACAAAAACATCGGTTTCAAAAACCCACAAAATTAGCATTTTTGCAAAGGGGTTAGTTCATTGTTTTTTTTTTTTAAATTTGAAATTTTGTGAACGTTTTGTTTTATGCAAAATACACCCAGAAAAAGTATTTGGTGACGTTGTCGTTAAACAACAAGCCTTGTAGACAATATAAACATGGTTTTAAAAACAAGGCAAAATTGGCATTCTTTCAAAGCGGATAGTCCATGATTTTGGTCAAAAAGTTGACGTTTTTTCATGTTTTGTGTTTATCAAAAATAGATCCAGAAAAAGTGTTTGCTGACGTTCTAGATAAAAAAGAACCCTTTAAGACTATAAAAACAACTGTGTACGAAAAACGCCCAATTAGAATTTTTCCAAAGGGGTTTTTCCAAGGCTTTAGTCCATTGTTTTGGTCAAAAATTCGAGATTTCTTCAACTTTGATTTTTATGCAAAATAGACCAAGAAAAAGTATCTGGGAACGTTCTAGTTAGAAAAAAGTTTCTATAATACTTTTTAACCCACTGTAACGCCTTGTCACCCCCTGTAACCCCTTGGAACCCTTTGTAACCCCCTTGTAACCCCTTGTAACCCCGTGTAACCCCTTCTACCCCCCTTGTAACCCCTGTAACCCCTTCTAACCCCTTTGTAACCCCCTGTAACCCCCCATTAACCCGTTGTAACTCCCTGTATTCCCATGTCATAGATCGTAAAAACAAATCGTGAAAAAACTATTTTCGACGTTTTAAAGAGCAAAAAAGGCTTTCTGAACTACAAAAACGTCGGTTTCAAAAACCCAGAAAATTGGCATTTTTGAAAAGGGATTAGTCCATGGTTTAGGTCAAAAATTTGAAATTTTATGAACGTTTCGTTTTATGCAAAATACTCCCAGAAAAAGTATTTGGTGACGTTCTTGTTAGAATACAAGCCTTTCTAGACAATATAAACATGGATTTAAAAAGAAGGCAAAATTGGCATTTTTGCAAAGTCCATGATTTTGGTCAAAAAGATGAAGTTTTTTCATCTTTTGTGTTTATCAAAAATAGATGGAGAAAAAGTGTTTGCTGACGTTCTAGATTAAAAAGAAGCCTTCAAAGACTATAAAAACAACTGTGTACGCAAAACGCAAAATTAGAATTTTTCCTTAGGGGTTAGTCCAACGTTTTGGTCAAAAAATTGAGATTTCTTCAACTTTGACTTTTATGCAAAATAGAGCAAGAAAAAGTATCTGCAAACGTTCTAGTTAGAATAAATTTTCTATAATCCTTTGTAACCCCCTGTAACGCCTTGTCGCCCCCTGTCACCCCTTGTAACCCCTTCTACCCGCGGTAACCCCTTGTAACCCGTTGTGACCTTCTGTAACCTCTTTTAACACCTTGTAACCCATTGTAACCCCCTGTAACCCCTTGAAACCCCCTCTATTCCCATGTCACAGATCGTGAAAATAAATCGTGAAAAAACGATTTTCGACGTTTTATATAGCAAACCAGCCTTTCTGAACAACAAAAAAATCGGTTTCAAAAACCAACTTCAACTTCAACAATGATTTTTATGCAAAATAGACCAAGAAAAAGTATCTGGGAACGTTCTAGTTAGAAAAAAGTTTCTATAATCCTTTGTAGCCCCCTGTAACGCCTTGTAACCTCCTGTCACCCCTTGCAACCCCTTGTAACCCCCTGTAACCCCTTGTAACCCCCTCTATTCCAATGTCATAGATTGTAAAAATAAATCGTGAAAAAACGATCTTCACGGTTTACATAGCAAACAACCCTTTCTGAGCAACAAAAACATCGGTTTCAAAAACCCACAAAATTGGGATTTTTGCAAAGGGGTTAGTTCATTGTTTTTTTTTTTAATTTGAAATTTTGTGAACGTTTCGTTTTATGCAAAATACACCCAGAAAAAGTATTTGGTGACGTTGTCGTTAAACAACAAGTCTTGTACACAATATAAACATGGTTTTAAAAAGAAGGCAAAATTGGCATTCTTTAAAAGGGGATAGTCCATGATTTTGGTCAAAAAGTTGAAGTTTTTTCATGTTTTGTGTTTATCAAAAATAGATCAAGAAAAAGTGTTTGCTGACGTTCTAGATAAAAAAGAAGCCCTTAAAGAGTATAAAAACAACTGTGTACGAAAAACGCCCAATTAGAATTTTTCCAAAGGGGTTTTTCCAAGGCTATAGTCCATTGTTTTAGTCAAAAATTCGAGATTTCTTCAACTTTGATTTTTATGCAAAATAGACCAAGAAAAAGTATCCGCAAACGTTCTAGTTAGAATAAATTTTCTATAATCCTTTGTAACCCCCTGTAACGCCTTGTCACCCCCTGTCACCCCTTGTAACCCCTTGTACTCCCGGTAACCCCTTGTAACCCGTAGTGACCTTTTGTAACCTCTTATAACACCTTGTAACCCATTGTAACCCCCTGTAACCCCTTATAACCCCCTGTATTCCCATGTCACAGATCGTGAAAATAAATCGTGAAAAAACGATTTTCGATGTTTTATATAGCAAACAAGCCTTTCTGAAAAACAAAAACATCGGTTTCAAAAACCAACTTCAACTTCAACAATGATTTTTATGCAATATAGACCAAGAAAAAGTATCTAGCAACGTTCTAGTTAGAAAAAAGTTTCTATAATCCTTTGTAACCCCCTGTAACGCCTTGTCACCTCCTGTCACCCCTTGCAACCCCTTGTAACCCCCTGTAACCCCTTGTAACCCCTTGAAACACCCTGTAACCCCTTGTAACCACCACTATTCCAATGTCATAGATTGTGAAAATAAATCGTGAAAAAAGGATTTTCGACGTTTTATATAGCAAACAAGTCTTTCAGAAAAACAAAAACATCGATTTCAAAAACCAACTTCAACGATGATTTTTATGCAAAATAGACCAAGAAAAAGTATCTGGGAACGTTCTAGTTAGAAAAAAGTTTCTATAATCCTTTGTAACCCCCTGTAACGCCTTGTCACCTCCTGTCACCCCTTGCAACCCCTTGTAACCCCCTGTAACCCCTTGTAACTCCTTGAAACAACCTGTAACCCCCTGTAACCCCTTGTAACCACCGCTATTCCAATGTCATAGATTGTGAAAATAAATCGTGAAAAAAGGATTTTCGACGTTTTATATAGCAAACAAGTCTTTCTGAAAAACAAAAACATCGATTTCAAAAACCAACTTCAACGATGATTTTTATGCAAAATAGACCAAGAAAAAGTATCTGGGAACGTTCTAGTTAGAAAAAAGTTTCTATAATCCTTTGTAACCCCCTGTAACGCTTTGTCACCTCCTGTCACCCCTTGCAACCCCTTGTAACCCCCTGTAACCCCTTGTAACCCCTTGAAACACCCTGTAACCCCCTGTAACCCTTTGTAACCCCCTCTATTCCAATGTCATAGATTTTAAAAATAAATCGTAAAAAAACGATCTCCACGGTTTATATAGCAAACAAGCCTTTCTGAACAACAAAAACATCGGTTTCAAAAACCCACAAAATTGGCAGGTTTGCAAAGGGGTTAGTTCATGGTTTTGGTCTAAAATTTGAAATTTTGTGAACGTTTCGTTTTAAGCAAAATACACCCAGAAAAAGTATTTGGTGACGTTGTCGTTAAACAACAAATCTTGTAGACAATATAAACATGGTTTTAAAAAGAAGGCAAAATTGGTATTCTTTCAAAGCGGATAGTCCATGATTTTGGTCAAAAAGATGAAGTTTTTACATGTTTTTTGTTTATCAAATATAGATCCAGAAAAAGTGTTTGCTGACGTTCTAGATAAAAAAGAAGCCCTTAAAGAGTATAAAAACAACTGTGTACGAAAAACGCCCAATTAGAATTTTTCCAAAGGGGTTTTTCAAGGCTTTAGTCCGTTGTTTTGGTCAAAAATTTGAGATTTCTTCAACTTTGATTTTTATGCAAAATAGACCAAGAAAAAGTATCTGCAAACGTTCTAGTTAGAATAATTTTTCTATAATCCTTTCTAACCCCCTGTAACGCCTTGTCACCCCCTGTCACCCCTTGTAACCCCTTGTACCCCCGGTAACCCCTTGTAACCCGTTGTGACCTTTTGTAACCTCTTATAACACCTTGTAACCCATTGTAACCCCCTGTAACCCCTTATAACCCCCTGTATTCCCATGTCACAGATCGTGAAAATAAATCGTGAAAAAACGATTTTCGATGTTTTATATAGCAAACAAGCCTTTCTGAAAAACAAAAACATCGGTTTCAAAAACCAACTTCAATTTCAACAATGATTTTTATGCAAAATAGACCAAGAAAAAGTATCTAGCAACGTTCTAGTTAGAAAAAAGTTTCTATAATCCTTTGTAACCCCCTGTAACGCCTTGTCACCTCCTGTCACCCCTTGCAACCCCTTGTAACCCCCTGTAACCCCTTGTAACCCCTTGAAACACCCTGTAACCCCCTGTAACCCCTTATAACCACCGCTATTCCAATGTCATAGATTGTGAAAATAAATCGTGAAAAAAGGATTTTCGACGTTTTATATAGCAAACAAGTCTTTCTGAAAAACAAAAACATCGGTTTCAAAAACCAACTTCAACTTCAACGATGATTTTTATGCAAAATAGACCAAGAAAAAGTATCTGGGAACGTTCTAGTTAGAAAAAAGTTTCTATAATCCTTTGTAACCCCCTGTAACGCCTTGTCACCTCCTGTCACCCCTTGCAACCCCTTGTAACCCCCTGTAACCCCTTGTAACCCCTTGAAACACCCTGTAACCCCCTGTAACTCCTTGTAACCACCACTATTCCAATGTCATAGATTGTGAAAATAAATCGTGAAAAAAGGATTTTCGACGTTTTATATAGCAAACAAGTCTTTCTGAAAAACAAAAACATCGGTTTCAAAAACCAACTTCAACCTCAACGATGATTTTTATGCAAAATAGACCAAGAAAAAGTATCTGGGAACGTTCTAGTTAGAAAAAAGTTTCTATAATCCTTTGTAACCCCCTGTAACGCCTTGTCACCTCCTGTCACCCCTTGCAACCCCTTGTAACCCCCTGTAACCCCTTGTAACCCCTTGAAACACCCTGTAACCCCCTGTAACCCCTTGTAACCCCCTCTATTCCAATGTCATAGATTGTAAAAATAAATCGTAAAAAAACGATCTCCACGGTTTATATAGCAAACAAGCCTTTCTGAACAACAAAAACATCGTTTTCAAAAACCCACAAAATTGGCAGTTTTGCAAAGGGGTTTAGTTCATTGTTTTTTTTTGTAAATTTGAAATTTTTTTGAACGTTTCGTTTTATGCAAAATACACCCAGAAAAAGTATTTGGTGACGTTGTCGTTAAACAACAAATCTTGTAGACAATATAAACATGGTTTTAAAAAGAGGGCAAGATTGGTATTCTTTCAAAGCGGATAGTCCATGATTATGGTCAAAAAATTGAAGTTTTTACATGTTTTGTGTTTATTAAATATAGATCCAGAAAAAGTGTTTGCTGACGTTCTAGATAAAAGAGAAGCCCTTAAAGAGTATAAAAACAACTGTGTACGAAAAACGCCCAATTAGAATTTTTCCAAAAGGGTTTTTCCAAGGCTTTAGTCCATTGTTTTGGTCAAAAATTCGAGATTTCTTCAACTTTGATTTTTATGCAAAATAGAGCAAGAAAAAGTATCTGGGAACGTTCTAGTTACAAAAAAGTTTCTATAATACTTTTTAACCCACTGTAACGCCTTGTCACCCCCTGTAACCCCTTGGAACCCTTTGTAACCCCCTTGTAACCTCTTGTAACACCCTGTAACCCCTTCTACCCAATTTTAACCCCCTGTAACACCCCCCATTAACCTGTTGTAAGTCCCTGTATTCCCATGTCATAGATCGTAAAAATAAATCGTGAAAAAACTATTTTCGACGTTTTAAAGAGCAAAAAACTCTTTCTCAACTACAAAAACGTCGGTTTCAAAAACCCAGAAAATTGACATTTTTGAAAGGGGATTAGTCCATGGTTTAGGTCAAAAATTTGAAATTTTATGAACGTTTCGTTTTATGCAAAATATACCCAGAACACGTATTTGGTGACGTTCTCGTTAAACAACAAGCCTTTCTCGACAATATAAACATGGATTTAAAAAGAAGGCAAAATTGGCATCTTTGCAAAGTCCATGATTTTGGTCAAAAAGATGAAGTTTTTTCATCTTTTGTGTTTATCAAAAATAGATGGAGAAAAAGTGTTTCCTGACGTTCTAGATTAAAAAGAAGCCTTCAAAGACTATAAAAAAAACTGTGTACGCAAAACGCAAAATTACAATTTTTCCTAAGGGGTTAGTCCATCGTTTTGGTCAAAAATTTGAGATTTCTTCAACTCGGATTTTTATCCAAAATACAGCAAGAAAAAGTATCTGCAAACGTTCTAGTTAGAATAAATTTTCTATAATCCTTTGTAACCCCCTGTAACGCCTTTTCACCCCCTGTCACCCCTTGTAACCCCTTGTACCCCCGGTAACCCCTTGTAACCCGTTGTGACCTTTTGTAACCTCTTTTAACACCTTGTAACCCATTGTAACCCCCTGTAACCCCTTGCAACCCTCTCTATTCCCATGTCAAAGATCGTGAAAATAAATCGCGAAAAAACGATTTTCGACGTTTTATATAGCAAACAAGCCTTTCTGAAAAACAAAAACATCGGTTTCAAAAACCAACTTCAACTTCAACGATGATTTTTATGCAAAATAGACCAAGAAAAAGTATCTGGGAACGTTCTAGTTAGAAAAAAGTTTCTATAATCCTTTGTAACCCCCTGTAACGCCTTGTCACCTCCTGTCACCCCTTGCAACCCCTTGTAACCCCGTGTAACCCCTTGTAACCCCTTGAAACACCCTGTAACCCCCTGTAACCCCTTGTAACCCCCTCTATTCCAATGTCATAGATTGTAAAAATAAATCGTAAAAAAACGATCTCCACGGTTTATATAGCAAACAAGCCTTTCTGAACAACAAAAACATCGGTTTCAAAAACCCACAAAATTGGCAGTTTTGCAAAGGGGTTAGTTCATTGTTTATTTTTTTTTAAATTTGAAATTTTGTGAACGTTTCGTTTTATGCAAAATACACCCAGAAAAAGTATTTGGTGACGTTGTCGTTAAACAACAAGCCTTGTAGACAATATAAACATGGTTTTAAAAAGAAGGCAAAATTGGCATTCTTTCAAAGCGGATAGTCCATGATTTTGGTCAAAAAGTTGAAGTTTTTTCATGTTTTGTGTTTATCAAAAATAGATCCAGAAAAAGTGTTTGCTGACGTTCTAGATAAAAAAGAAGCCCTTAAAGAGTATAAAAACAACTGTGCACGAAAAACGCCCAATTAGAATTTTTCCAAAGGGGTTTTTCCAAGGCTTTAGTCCATTGTTTTGGTCAAAAATTTGAGATTTCTTCAACTTTGATTTTTATCCAAAATAGACCAAGAAAAAGTATTTTGGAACGTTCTAGTTAGAAAAAAGTTTCTATAATACTTTTTAACCCACTGTAACGCCTTGTCACCCCCTGTAACCCCTTGGAACCCTTTGTAACCCCCTTGTAACCCCTTGTAACACCCTGTAACCCCTTCTACCCCCTTGTAACCCCCTGTAACCCCCCCCCCCCATTAACCTGTTGTAAGTCCCTGTATTCCCATGTCATAGATCGTAAAAATAAATCGTGAAAAAACTATTTTCGACGTTTTAAAGAGCAAAAAACTCTTTCTCAACTACAAAAACGTCGGTTTCAAAAACCCAGAAAATTGACATTTTTGAAAGGGGATTAGTCCATGGTTTAGGTCAAAAATTTGAAATTTTATGAACGTTTCGTTTTATGCAAAATACTCCCAGAAAAAGTATTTGGTGACGTTCTCGTTAGAATACAAGCCTTTCTAGACAATATAAACATGGATTTAAAAAGAAGGCAAAATTGGCATTTTTGCAAAGTCCATGATTTTGGTCAAAAAGATGAAGTTTTTTCATCTTTTGTGTTTATCAAAAATAGATGGAGAAAAAGTGTTTGCTGACGTTCTAGATTAAAAAGAAGCCTTCAAAGACTATAAAAACAACTGTGTACGCAAAACGCAAAATTAGAATTTTTCCTTACGGGTTAGTCCATCGTTTTGGTCAAAAATTTGAGATTTCTTCAACTTTGACTTTTATGCAAAATAGAGCAAGAAAAAGTATCTGCAAACGATCTAGTTAGAATAAATTTTCTATAATCCTTTGTAACCCCCTGTAACGCCTTGTCGCCCCCTGTCACCCCTTGTAATCCCTTCTACCCGCGGTAACCCCTTGTAACCCGTTGTGACCTTCTGTAACCTCTTTTAACACCTTGTAACCCATTGTAACCCCCTGTAACCCCTTCTAACCCCCTCTATTCCCATGTCACAGATCGTGAAAATAAATCGTGAAAAAACGATTTTCGACGTTTTATATAGCAAACCAGCCTTTCTGAACAACAAAAAAATCGGTTTCAAAAACCAACTTCAACTTCAACAATGATTTTTATGCAAAATAGACCAAGAAAAAGTATCTGGGAACGTTCTAGTTAGAAAAAAGTTTCTATAATCCTTTCTGTTCAACTTTGATTTTTATGCAAAATAGACCAAGAAAAAGTATCTGGGAACGTTCAGGATAGAAAAAAGTTTGTATAATCCTTTGTAATCCCCTGTAACGCCTTGCCAACCCTTGTCACCCCTTGTCACCGCTTGTCACCCCTTGTCACCACTTGCAACCCCCTGTAAGCCCTCTTAACCCCTTGTAACCCCCTGTAAGCCCTTGTAACCCATTGTAACCCCCTGTAACCCCCTGTATTGCCATGTCATAGATCGTGAAAATAAATCGTGAAAAAACTATTTTCGACGTTTTATATAGCAAACAAGCCTTTCTAAACGACAAAAACATTGGTTTCAAAAACCCACAAAATTGCCATTTTTGCAAAGGGGTTAGTCCATGGTTTTCGTCAAAACTTTGAAATCTTGTGAACGTTTTGTTTCATGAAAAATACACCCAGAAAAAGTATTTGGTGACGTTCTTGTTAGAAAACAAACCTTTCTAGACAATATAAACATGGATTTACAAAGAAGACAAAATTGGCCTTTTTGCAAAGGGGATAGTCCATGATTTTGGTCACAAAGTTGAAGTTCTTTCATGTTTTGTGTTTATCAAAAATAGATTTGATATAACAGATAAAACAGAAGCCTTTAAAGACTATAAAAAACAACTGTGTAGGAAAAACGCAAAATTAGAATTTTTCCAAAGGAGTTAGTCCATTGTTTGGTCAAAAATTTGAGATTTCTTCAACTTTGATTTTTATGCAAAATTGACCAAGAAAAAGTATCTGGGAACGTTCTGGTTAGAAAAAAGTTTCTATAACCCTTTGTAAACCCCTGTAACGCCTTGTCACCCTTTGTCACCCCTTGTAACCCCTTGTAACCCTTTGTAACGGCTCTCAACCCCTTGTAACCCCCTGTAACCCCTTTTAACCCTTTGTAACCCCCTGTAACTTCTTGTAACCCCTTGTAACCCCCTGTAACCCCCTGTAACCCTTTGTAACCCCCTTTAATCCCATGTCATAGATCGTGAAAATAAATCGTGAGAAAAACGATTTTCGACGTTTTATATAGCAAACAAGCCTTTCTGAAAACAAAAACATCGGTTTCAAAAATTTTTAAAATTTCTTCAACTTTTATTTTTATGCAAAATTGACCAACAAAAAGTATGTGGGAACGTTCTAGTTAAAATAAAGTTTTTATAATCCTTTCTAACCCACTGTAACGCCTTGTCACCCCACGTCACCCCTTGTAACCCTTTGAAACGGCTCTCAACCTCTTGTAACCCCCTGTAACCCCTTTTAACCCTTAGTAACCCCCTGTAACCCCTTGTAACCCCTTGTAACCCCCTGTAACCCCCTGTAACCCTTTGTAACCCCCTGTATTCCCATGTCATAGATCGTGAAAATAAATCTTGAAAAAACGATTTTCGACGTTTTATATAGCAAACAAGTCTTTCTGAACAACAAAACACATCGGTTTCAAAAATTTTCAAAATCTCTTCAACTTTGATTTTTATGCAAAATTGACAAAGAAAAAGTATGTGGGAACGTTCTAGTTAAAATAAAGTTTTTAGAATCCTTTGTAACCCCCTGTAACGCCTTGTCACCCCACGTCACCCCTTGTAACCCCTTGTAACCCCCTGTAACTCCCTGTAACCCCTTGTAACCTCCTTAACCCCTTGTAACCCCTTGTAACCCCCTCTAACCCCCTGTAACCCCTTTTAACGTCCTGTATTCCCATGTCATAGATCGTAAAAATAAATCGTGAAAAAATGATTTTTGACGTTTTTTATAGCAAACAAGCCTTTCTGAACAACAAAAACATCGGTTTTAAAAACCCACAAAATTGGCATTTTTGCAAAGGGGTTAGTTCATGGTTTTGGTCAAAAATTTGAACTTTTGTGAAAAGAAGCCTTTAAAGACTATAAAAACAAGTGTGTACGAAAAACGCAAAATAAGAATATTTCCAGAGGGGTTAGTCCGTCGTTTTCGTCAGAAATTTGAGATTTCTTCAACTTTGATTTTTATGCAAAATAGACCAAGAAAAAGTATCTGGGAAAGTTCTAGTTAGAAAAAAGTTTCTATAATCCTTTGTAACCCAGTGTAACGCCTTGACACCCCCTGTCACCTCTTGTAACCCCTTGTAACCCCCTGTAACCCCTTGTAACCCGTTTTAACCCCTTGTAAACCCTTGTAACCCCTTGTAACCCTCTGTAACCCCTTGTAACCCCCTGTATTTCTATGTCATAGATCGTGAAAATAAATCTTGAAAAAACGATTTTCGACGTTTTATATAGCAAACATGCCTTTCTGAACAACAAAAACATCGGTTTCAAAAATTTTCAAAATTTCTTCAACTTTGATTTTTATGCAAAATTGACCAAGAAAAAGTATGTGGGAACTTTCTAGTTAAAATAAAGTTTTTATAATCCTTTGTAACCCCCTGTAACGCCTTGTCACCCTACGTCACCCCTTGTAACCCCGTGTAGCCCCGTGTAACTCCCCGTAACCCCTTGTAACCCCTTTAACCCCTTGTAACCCCTTGTAACCCCTTGTAACCCCCTGTAACACCCTGTAACCCCTGTTAACCCCCTGTATTCCTATGTCATAGATCGTGAAAATAAATCGTGAAAAAACGATTTTTGACGTTGTACATAGCAAACAAGCCTGTCTGAACAACACAAACATCGGTTTCAAAAACCCACAAAATTGGCATTTTTGTAAAGGGGTTAGTCCATTGTTTTGGTCAAAAATTTGAAATTTTGTGAACGTTTCGTTTTATCCAAAATACACCCAGATAAAGTATTTGGTGACGTTCTCGTTAACAAACAAGCCTTTCTAGACAATATAAACACGGATTTTAAAAGAAGGCAAAATTGGCATTTTTGCAAAGGGGATAGTCCATGATTTTGGTCAAAAAGTTGAAGTTTTTTCATGTTTTGTGTTTATCAAAAATAGATCGAGAAAAAGTGTTTGCTGACGTTCTAGATAAAAAAGAAGCCTTTAAAGACTATAAAAACAACTGTGTACGAAAAACACAGAATTAGAATTTTTTTAAAGGAGTTAGTTCATCGTTTTGGTCAAAAATTTGAGATTTCTTCAACTTCGATTTTTATGCAAAATAGACCAAGAAAAGGTATCTGGGAACGTTCTAGTTAGAATAAAGTTTCTATAATCCTTTGTCACCCCCTGTAAGGCCTTGTCACCCCCTGTAACCCCTTGTAACCCCCTGTAACCCCTTGTAACCTCTTGTAACCCCCTGTAACACCCTGTAACCCCTTTTAACCCCCTGTATTCCCATGTCATAGATCGTGAAAATAAATCGTGAAAAATCGATTTTTGACGTTGTACATAGCAAACAAGCCTGTCTGAACAACAAAAACATCGGTTTCAAAAACCCACAAAATTGGCATTTTTGTAAAGGGGTTAGTCCATTGTTTTGGTCAAAAATTTGAAAGTTTGTGAACGTTTCGTTTTATGCAAAATACACCCAGAAAAAGTATTTGGTGACGTTGTCGTTAGAAAACAAGCCTTTCTAGACAATATAAACATGGATTTACAAAGAAGGCAAAATTGGCCTTTTTGCAAAGGGGATAGTCCATGATTTTGGTCAAAAAGTTGAAGTTTTTTCATCTTTTGTGTTTATCAAAAATAGATCGAGAAAAAGTGTTTGCTGACGTTCTAGATAAAAAAAGGAGCCTTTAAAGACTATAAAAACAACTGTGTACGAAAAACGCAAAATTAGAATTTTTTCAAAGGGGTTAGTCCATCGTTTTGGTCAAAAATTTGAGATTTCTTCAACTTTGATTTTTATGCAAAATAGACCAAGAAAAGGTATCTGGGAACGTTCTAGTTAGAATAAAGTTTCTATAATCCTTTGTAACCCCCTGTAACGCCTTGTCACCCCCTGTAACCCCTTGTAACCCCTTGTAACCCCTTGTAACCCCTTGTAACCTCTTGTAACCCCCTGTAACACCCTGTAACCCCTTTTAACCCCCTGTATTCCCATGTCATAGATCGTGAAAATAAATCGTGAAAAAACGATTTTTCCATTGTTTTGGTCAAAAATGTGAAATTTTGTGAACGTTTCGTTTTATGCAAAATACACCCAGAAAAAGTATTTGGTGACGTTGTCGTTAGAAAACAAGCCTTTCTAGACAATATAAACATGGATTTAGAAAGAAGGCAAAATTGGCCTTTTTGCAAAGGGGATAGTCCATGATTTTGGTCAAAAAGTTGAAGTTTTTTCATCTTTTGTGTTTATCAAAAATAGATTGAGAAAAAGTGTTTGCTGACGTTCTAGATAAAAAGCCTTTAAAGACTATAAAAACAACTGTGTAGGAAAAACGCAAAATTAGAATTTTTTCAAAGGGGTTAGTCCATCGTTTTGGTAGAGAATTTGAGATTTCTTCAACTTGAGCACTTTAGGCCATGAAGGATGCAATCACGCGTGATTTCATCGCAAGATTTCTTGTGAGTGCATGCTATTAGCTCGATCACTGCTCTTGGTGCAGGCGAGCCATCCATCCAGTTGGTTTCAAGTCTTTCACCGTGTGCATCGGTTTTGAGAAACCAGCCTTTGCCCACCGAAGTTGGCACTTCATTATTGCGAAGAGAGTTCTTCCAGACCGCAGCTTGATAATTAGCTCGTTGGCGGTGCTTTTTTATGCAGTCCCTGCACCGAGGTGGCTGGTGTGATTTCTGCTCACCTTTCTTGGTACAGAAAATAGCATACCGAAGCTCATATACATCAGACGTACCTTTCTTGGCACCATAGAGAGCAGAGACAAAGGCTTCCAACTTCCCAAAGAGCTCTTCAGTTACTGACCACTCCTCTCCAACTCTTACAAACACTTCCTGAAAATCGTTGTTCTTTCGAAGAATCTTCAGCACATTTGCAGGCATTGGCAAAGTAAAGACTTTGCCAATGCCTGCAAATGTTCTGAGTCACAGCCCGTAAAGGCATGTACTGAGCCCACGCAAAGCCTTGCATACTTTATAACCTATTGTACTAACGACTTTTCCAATGTCTACGTATCTGGCCATTTACTGTGAAACACAACGCTGGAAAAGCGGCACTTTGACGTCGTTTGAAAAAGCAAGACAGAGAATGCGTACGTCTGTGTCCTCAGACGAGATGACTATGGCATTGAATGGCTCTTTTGTCGCATGTCTAGTATGAAGGAGGAGGGGGATGTCGGCTTCCTCTTGATCTGATCGCAGCTCTTCTTCTTCTTCTTGTGCGCTCTCTGTTGTTAGCTTGTAGCAACGCTTCCCACATGTAGCATAAAGTGTCTTGTGTTGCAGCTTTGATCGACAAGACGGTTTACTCCAGTGATCAACGACGAACTTGATTAGGCTGCCTTTATTTAATTTTTTTTTCATTTAAACTGCCCAAAGCTGCCACATTCAAAAGTCCTTGTTAATTACCGAGCTAACAGTCATCTTCACTCTGATAAGTTCAGCTCTGATTTATTGAACTCTGTACAACAACTTGCTAATACAAAGGATCTAAATCTTTCGGTTGAGGATTATAACACAGCCCTGAACAACGCTTATTCTACTCACTATCCGCCACAAACTAGATGGGTCAATCATAGACCGAGAGCTACTTGGTTTAATCAAGACTTACGTGTTGCAAGACGTGAGAAGGGTCGCCTGGAGAGAATGTTAAGGAAATCCCAACTTACTGTTCATAGACAACTTTTCATGGAAGCCTGCTCAAGATATAACCGCATGCTGGATTCAGTAAAGTTAGGTTATTTCAAAGCCCAAATTGACCAAGTAGGCAACCACAGGCTATTTAAAACTGTTCATCGACTGTTCACCTCAGGATCACCGGTTTTACAAAATATTTACGATTCTTTGGAGTCTTTGGCTTTGGAGGTCCAGTTATAACAGTTATTTTCCATGAATCTTTAACCTCTGGTGAATTCCCTTCTGCGCTTAAACGATCTTTGATTCGTCCAGTCCTGAAGAAGCCAGATCTTGACAAGGATGTTTTAAAAAATTACCGACCTGTGGTCAATATATCTTTCCTAGCAAAAGTCATTGACAAGGATGTCGCGGTTCAGACATTCATACTTGGAGGATAATCTATTAATGCCTTCTATGCAATCCGTCTATCGTAAACATCACTCCTCTGAGACTCCCTTCTGCAAGTAATGAATGACGTTCTTAGGACTGTTGATTGTCGGCGAGATGTTGTTTTAGTCACGCTTGATTTGTCAGCTGCATTAGATACTTCGGTTTTTCCCACACAGTGCTAAGATGGTTTTCGTCTAATCTTACTGGTCGGATACAATCTGTTACTATTGTAACACAACATCTAGCAGTCGGAGATTAGAATTTGGAATTCCGCAAGGTTCGATACTCGGTCCTCTCATGTTTATTTTTTATACAGCACCTGTTCAAGACATAATCTTTGCTCATAACCTAGATTGTATGTTCTACGCAGATGACTCTCAACTCTGCATAACTATTGACCCTTATGATCAACGTCCTGCCCTCAACACCCTTCAGAAGTGTATTAGTGAAATCATAGAATGGAACACCATTAGTAAGTTAGTGTGCAATCCTAGTAAAACAAATGTCATTCAGTTTAGTTCTCGTTTCGTCAAGAACCCAATTCTCAGTGATTTTTTGATTGGCAATGCTAGAGTACAACCATCAGACCGAGTTTGTAATCTTGGTGTCAACCTAGATAGAGAGCTCGATCAAAAAGGCTATACTAAAATCTACGTAAAAACATCAGTAAAATACAGGTTTCGCGACACTTGTGTTTCTGGATTTCTGGAGAAAAAAAACCCTAAAATCTGGTGTCCTAAGCGCCCTAACTAAGTATTTATCTTAAATGTTCTGGCAATGTTTAAAGTGTTTCAGATGACCGACTCTTGCATCTGCTCAACTACGCCCCGTGCTGTCGCTCCTAGTAGCTTCCTCACCGACTCCTCTAGGTCTTTAGAGTAACCACCCAGTACGTCAATTATTACGTTGTACTGTTTAACCCCGTAACCATTGTATTTCTGCTTCAGCTCCCACATCATGGGCCCATACTTGAGTGTCTCTTCCTCATCTTTCTACTCTCAATCCATGGGCAGCTCATTTCAATTGTGCAGACCTCTTTCCTCTCGTGGCTGACAAGTCGCTTGTCGATCCCATTTGCTCTAACTTCGTTGTGTTCTTTATAGATGGGAATATCCCAAAACGCCTCACTCGTGGTGTTCTGGTAGGCTGGTTTTGGCATCACCGGTGAGTACCATGGTGTAACTTCTTCTATTAACCCATGCTCTCGCAGGAACTCAAAAAACAGAATCTTCACGCCTGATGCCAGGGCGTGTTCTTCAAATTCTCAAACTGCTTCCAAAGTCTGGTCCGAATTCTGATACAATTGCAGTAGCGATTTGATTTTAGTGATTTTGTTCTCGTGTTCGACTGATCGCATGCCTCTACTCCCTTTCTCCCTCGGTAGATATAACAAAGAAGTTAGGTTAGCTGGGTGTTTGCCACCGTTCTCAACTATGATCTTCCGAGCTGCCCTGTCCACATCTCTTAACTCTGATAGAGTCCAATGCTGTGTCCACATTAAGTACCGCAGCACCGGTAGTGCATACTGATTAGTTGCCTGTGCTCGGTTACAATCAGGGGGCTGGACCATATAATAGATATCCTGCGTAGATACTCTTTAGCCGCACACGCTAGGGCCAGCCGTTCATCCTGTCGAACGTTCCCTAGCACCCCTAGGAGAACCTCCTGCATCTGAAGCTGTCGACTTTCGGCGATGATTATCATTCGTGCGAACAAATTAAGATCAGCACGGATTACTCTCTTGTTACCTTTGCTCTTCTTCACATCTTTGGTTTTGTTAAAATCACTGAACGTCTTTAACTTTTGCTTTGTCAGTATATGATGGACATTCACTGGTGGCTTCTCTGGCTTGAAGCGTCCCTTTTTGAACTGTTGGTAGGCGGTCTCCCCTACTAGGCACGCTCTACTCAGGTCACGTTCAATTTCGGGAGAAACAGTGGCACCCATGGAAATACTACAGAGGGGCTGGTAACTGCTGAATGGATTGGTGCGGTTACTTTCAAGAAGATCAACCATTGCTTTTACTTCTTGTTTGTCTTTGGCTATTCGAGACTGTTGGAGGTCAACATGGTCAATTTCTTCACCCTGTTGTGTCTTCAAAGGCAACACAAAAGCGTACTCGCCGAAGATATCCATACATGTCAGTAAGTATTTATAGTCCTTGTTGTAGCGACTGCGATTTTGAAGATCCACCAATTCCGCTTAAAATTGTGCATCTATTCGAGGAACGATGACTCTTCTTCTCTTGTAGCATCCTCGCCCGGGCTTGAAAAGAGTATAAACATCTTGCTGACTCAAGCAATCTCGGACTTTTTTACGCGATATCTTGTCTTTTCCTTTCCTTTTCCCCTCGGAAACAACAAAAACGAACACTCACAACCCATTTCTTCGATGTTGCAAATTGACCAGTTTTGAGCGTTAGCGCTCCCAAACATTGCGATAATGATAAGCATCGTAAGATTTTTCGAATTGTCCATTTTTTGCTTCGTATTAGGGTTAAGTTTGGATTTCACCGTCAGAGCTCCATAATATTGCTATGATGATAAGCACTGTAAAACAAACAGGAAAGGATAATTCAGAGACGTGTTTCAACGTAAGAGCTCAAAAATGTCGCTCTATACTGATCTGACTGATCAGCTCCCGGAACCAACAAAGGCGACCACTCATAATCCATCCAGGCGATTTTACAAATTGGCCGGTTTTTGGCTACAGATAGGGCTAAATTAAATTTTAAGCGTTAGAGTTTCCATACATTGCTATAATGATAAGCTGAATAAGAAACTCGAAACTAGCCTAAAACGATTAAAACGATAATTCAGAGCCGGACGTCTGACAAGATTTTGCAATTTGTCCATTTTGTGCGCGTCATGGGATTAACGGATTTCACCGCAAAAAGTCCAAAATGTCGCTCTAAAGATCAGCACCGCAAAACGAAGAAAAACGACCCCTCCTAACCCTCATATGCGATGCTGCAAATTAGCGGGTTTGTGGCTAGAGATAGGGCTAAATCAAATTTTCAGCGTTAGAGGTCCCAAATATTGCTATAACTAGGAGTAATCGGAGTTAAGGAGAGTGCGTTCGATATCTTTGCTAGGCGTACAGGTAGAAGTTGAGGGGAAAGAGTGGATGGTTCTTGCGATAGATAGCTATGATTATGGGATATTTTGAACGTGAGGGTTGCGTACAGCGAAACCTCGATTTAAACTTTGTATGATAATGAAAAGGTTTTGAAGGCTAGTGATCAGCGTGATATCGTATGGTTCATCTCAAGTGCTTGTTGTTTGAGGAGACACTGGCCAGAGTGCTTCGGGCGTGTAAAAAGAACTTTTTGTTTTACTGGCGCAATAGATGTTCTACAGGCCGCAGTTGTTCGAAGACCGATCAGCGCTTAAACCGGGTTTCTTTTTCTTTTGTTAAAAAAAATTTCTTTGGATATTTTTCTGAGTTATTTTTAAGAGCGTCCCATCATCAACTTGTTGGCAAAATGAAGCTTTCACATCTGAGTTCAAATTTCGCACTAACCCTCCTCGCCTGGGTTATCTTAACCCAGCTTTCAAAAGCCCGGCCCAGGTACTGTTAAAAAGCAAACAGCCGACAAAGTTTTAGATGTAATCATTAATTTTATTTAATATTGGGAATTCCACTTGTAGACAATTACCGAAATTTACCATAAAATGCCGGAAACCGTTACTGGTAAGTCTTCTTAACTTGTGATGATATTAAAGAATGACCTGAGACCAGATTTTTGTGGTGAATGCCGGGGCACAATGATTGTGTTTGAACACTGGTTCACTTACACTACACCTCTCAATTTCACA